CAGAAACCCAACACCTCCTGAATATAAAATCCGGTACGCGTATAACGAGATCCACCCGTAAGCAAGGGAGAGAGAGGTTCTTAAATGGACGAAGATTTTTGAGCAGACATACAGGCGAGGCGGGAGAATGAGAAAAAAAAAAAAAAAAAAAAAAAGAAAAAAAAAAAAAAACGAGGGAAACGCAAAAGGGTGAAGGCGCGCCGTTGCAGCAGGTCGAAGGGACAGGAAATATTGGATTTACGCGACGCCTACTCACAATATACCGGTGTGCGCGCGATTCTCGTTTCACGTCGTTCCGTGCCGTCGCGTCCCGTGTGCATCAATAGCGCGAACGACGACAGGTCGGCTGAATAAAATGAGAACGCGCTGAAATCCCGATTGGGGCACCGCGAATGAGATCTCGTGCGAAAGGATTAACACGAGATCTCATTCGCGCGCGCGCGCATGTGTGTGTGTGTGTGTGTGTAATACAAGAAATAAATCGAAATACAGAAAAATGAGATTTTCGAACCAAAAAAAATTTATATTATTGTGCGAGTCTAACGATACGAAAGACGTCGTGCATATACCCGTGCCTTTTCTAGGTAAACGCTCCCAGATGATTGAGACGCATCGCTGCTTTGTGCACGCAGCGGGGAAATACCTTGCGTCATCGAACTCGGCTCGAGCGACGAGGGGTAAGCGCTCGGCAATTGCAGGCATCATCATCGCGCACAACGGAAAGAGCAGTAAATCTCCGATATCTCCGGATTCTCGAGTGCGTCACCGTTTCAACATGCGTTTAGCACGCAACCAGCGGACAACGGTGATTTACGACAATTCCGCGCCCTCCTCGCGCGCAGTAAGGACCAGGTTTTCTGAGGAAAATCCGAAACGCGCCTCCAAAAATGATCCGCGCGCGCGAGGTTAACGACCAGATCAACGCCAGCTGGCATGTTACACTCGCCGATATCTCGGGGGTCTCGTTCTGAGGCCTCGGAGATCTAATAACGCGCGCGCGGTCGCGCTTGTATTGCACCCGCAATATGTGTGTGCACACGGCCGCGCAGGTATGTAGTACGTGTTGCCGCTGCCGCGATATTTTTCACTTTCGCCATCGGGAGCAAACGACGTGGGCGTCTGTATACAGGGTGACTCACACGAGCCACACCCTTTTGTTTCTGATTGAGAATTTTTTTCGAGCGAATTAAAAATCCTTCGACGAGACAAACTAACGCGTCTTTTGAAAATATTTTTGCTGTTAAAAAAACTATATAATGTCTCGTTTTATTTGCGCGTTGTGTTCTAAAGTTATTTTTATATTTATTTAAACTTCTTTGTGTCCGAAAGACATGTGTAAAAATTGTGTTGATTATATCGCGATGTTTAGGTTTCACCACAAATTGTTTTTTTGTTTTGTTTTTTTTTTTAAGAGAACAAACACAGAATTTTTCTGGAGACATCTCGAGTGCTCAGAGGCGCGCACACACACTCGACGGTCGCACATCGCGATTTACTCGCTCACGTGCAGGAGGACGCAGAAGGCTAACTGCTTAGCATATATCGAACGGCTTCCCTCCCTTTGCACCGACAGGGGTCTCCTGAATAACCCATAAGTCCTGGACAAGTCCCGAGCGTTTGTACACTCTCTCTCTCTCTCCCGCTGCCATACGTTTCTCGGCCCGAACGCCGAGTCGCTCCGTCTTTGCGTACCTCAATCTCCTTTCCCTTCTTTCTCCTCTTGCTTTCTCTTATTTCCTGAGTTCCTTTCCTCGGGCCATAGGTTAACTCCAGGAAGGCGTAACTTCGCGCGACACCAGTTATAATTCTCTCCGGAATAACGTCCTCAGCGAGAGAGGAGGCCAAACGACGGGGCGCTCTCGTGAGAGAC